CCAAGAGGAGACTGGTTTTCCTTTGCTAAAGTAAGGAAACTTTGCTTCCTTTGCTCCTGTTAACAAACGTTGGTTTTCATGAGACTCACCGGCGCATGCGCAACGCTGAACTCATACGTCATCCGCCCGGAGCTGCTTCCGTGTACAACTGTTGTCGCAAGCTACATTAAAGTGATTATTACGTTTTGATCATTGATATTTCGTAATAATTAGGTGGCAGTCGCGGCCTAATGGTTAGAGAGTCAGACTTGTAACCCGAAGGTTGTGGGTTCGAGTCTCAGTTCCGGCAGGAATTGAGCGAAGAGCGATCTCTTCCACCGTCAATACCATGACTGAGGTGAGACCCTTGAGCAAGGCACCAAACCCCCAACTGCTCCCTGGGCGCCGCAGCAATATGGCTGCCCACAAAGCACAAACTCCAAGTATGGGTCACCATACTTGGCCACATGTCACTTCACTCACTTCACTTAAACATATTAATTTCTTAACACTTTTGAATGGTACAGTAAAACAAAACAACAACAAGAAAAATTACTATGTTTTGACATTATACCATTTCAAAATGCTTTATTAATACAGGTCAGAAATCATGAGATTAACTTATGTAAAATAAATATTTAATATACAATTTAATTAATTATAATATTTATTATAAATAATACATTTAAAATATTTATTAAATATACAGTATTTCCCCTTCTAGGGAACTCGTGCTGTGTCCTCTAGCGTACACTATGGGACTGCCGCCAACAGGACCGGTGTCTGAAGCACGTGTGAAACAACTCCAATCCCATTAGCCCATGTAGCCCGTGAAGTCACAGGTGGGCTCCCGGAAGCATAAGTGGGCGCCTGTCAAACACGTCACCAACTTTTTTTGTCTTCAGGAGCTGTTTGTTTGACAGTGTGTGTGAAGGTGTAATGGAGAAAACCAAGGTAAGTGAGCATTTTAGAAAGTGTGTGCCTCTGTGTCCTAGGTTTCTGACACCCGAGGACACACACGATCTATGCGTTATGTGTCTTGGTGAGGAGCACGCTCACTCAAGGGCTCTGAATATGCTCATTGTGATGGGATTCCAATGAGAAAGCTCCGTTCGTGTTTGTCCCTCTTCTCGGGGGATGAGGGACAAGCATCTGTATCTCGCAGTTCTGCCGAGGCACAGCATAGAGTCAGATCGTGGGGTTCACTGCAGAGAGGTTTGAGAA